TTATCTAAACAAGCACCTATATTGCATTTGATTGTATGCCAGGCATAGATCTGAGTGCTTTACAAAGACTAATTCAATCCTCATATCAGGTTTACGAGACTGGCTCTATTATTAACCCTCTTTTACAGAGAAAATAAGAGGCATAGAGAAGTTAAGGTCGCCGCTAGAATTCACATCATGACCAACTGTAGTTTTATGCATAAAAGGTTCAAAATTATTCCTTAAATTCAAAACCTGCAGAAACTGATGAGTTCATTTTCATTATCATTTGTAAAAACTATTTATAATATGTAATATTAGCTTTCATTTAAAGAGTGACTTCCTTAGGGACCAGGCAGAGTCCTTTCCAGGTACAATCTCTCTCTTTTTTTTTTTAAATGATGTCTTGTTGTGTTTTTAAAAATACATCTTTATTGATTTCAGAGAGAGGAAGGGAAAGGGAGAGAGAGATAGAAACATCAATGATGAGAGAGTCGTCATTAATCAGCTGCCTGTTGCAGGCCCCCACTGGGGATCGCATGTGCCCTGACCAGGATCGTACGGCAATTCCTTGGATCCCAGGCTGACGCTCAACCGCTGAGCCACGCCTGGCCAAGCTACAATCTCATTTTAATGTTTACTACTGCCCTGTGAGGTAGGCATTATTACTCCACTTTGCAGACGGGGAAGAAGTGATTTCTGCAGGAGCATACAGCTAGTTGACAGGAGGTCCAGGATTCAGAACTAACTTCAAAGATGGGGTTTAGCCCAGATGGTAAAAGGAAGCTAAGATCCACTATTGAGAAAAATGAATGCAGAGTCCAAACCATGCAAGTCAGTTGGGGTCATGGCGACAACAAAATTTGACCACCAAGCCAGAATTCTCATGCAGTGTGTGAAGTGACTGTCAGTTGGAGAATCACGTGGGGCCCTTTGGTGAGCCCGTACTTTGGGAGTCTGGGGCTTGGGGCAGGGCCCCTCATCTTTGTCATCTTTCTCTTGGCCTCATTATTTCTGTGTCCCTTCTGAGTTTCTGCCCTCCACTGGGTTTTCTCTTCTCTGGATCTTTGAGGGGCAGGGAACAGAGGTACAATACTTTGCTTCTCCCTTCCTTTCTCTCTCTTTTTTAAAAAAAAAATATATCTTGATTGATTTCAGAGAGAGGAAAGGAGAGGGAGAGAGAGAGAGAAACATCAATGATGAGAGAGTCATTGATCGGCTGCCTCCTGCACGCCCCCGACTGGGGATCGAGCCCTCAACCCGGGCATGTGCCCTGACCAGGAATTGAAACCCGATCGCCTGGATCCTAGGTCAACGCTCAACCGCTGAGCCACACCCGGCCAGGCCTCCCTTCCTTTCTCTAAACTTAGAAATCCTTTTGCAGGCCACCCCCTTAGTAACTACACAGCACATTATAAAATTATAAGAACTTTTAACACCTTGCACTTCTGGTCTTTAATGAAATACAAGTGGAACTCAACTTCATCATTCCTTTGCCTTTTACTGGCTTACCTCTGAGTCTTTCAGGGAACCAGAACCCCCCGATTGCCACCGTCTCCAGAAAGAAGCCCTTATTCCTCATTTTGCATATTTTTCTCTGCAAATTTCAGAAATAACTTTTTTTGCCAAGTGTTTTCCTCTCTTTATTTTAATTGTGTGTTTATTTGGAGAGTTTCCATTTTAAAAATTAAATATGGTTTTGGATAATAAAAGAATGTTTACCCTTGAATTTATTCTACATATTTTATGTAGTAATTTCCAGCTAGTGATCTTTTACCTCTAAAATAATCTCTCTCCTATTTTTCCACTCCTACAGGTGTCAGCTCCTTCAACCTTCCCCTCTCTCCCGTGTCCATCTGACAGTTTTGATTTCTGGCCAACTTCCAGACATACTGTAACTGCCAATTCACTTGGTAGGATCATGCCCGCAGTACAGAAACACTGTGGAAATCAGTCTGACGTGCATGTTCTTCTGGATAAAATGGCTATGGATGTGTTTTTCATAAGAAAGAATCCATTTTGCATTCAAAATCTGGAGCTAGTGTGTGTTCTTTACAAGATGAGGGAATAAAAATCATTCATATGGGTTATTAACTAGGAATGCATTCATTCTGACCAGAGTCCATCTATAAATTATCTAATTTATTTTCCAGCCATTCAGTCTGGATCATTTATTATCTATTATTTTCTAGGCACTGTGCTAGACACTAAGGGTTATAAAATAAATGACACTGTCCTTTAAGCACAACATTTCTAATTCTATTCCTAAAACTTTGACTAGTGACTTATCTGACTTTGGGAAGTCACTGGTGGATCTCAGTTGCCCCATTGTAAACTGAGGGGCTTGTATTAAGGGACTTCATAATTTTAAAACCTCTAAAATCAAGGACACAGAAGATTTGACTTCTTGTCTTAATTCAGTCATTAAGTTGCTCAGTGCCTTTGAGCAGAGTGTTTAGTCTCCGGATCTCGGTCTCCTCCTCCATAAAATAAATGGGAGGTCCTAGGTCAGTTTTGAAAAAAGCGTGTTCCAAGGAACTTTGTTAATAGGCCTTTCTAGGAAAAAAGGGCCCTGTTTTAAAAAGTTTAGGAAACACTGGAGTCAATAGGCTTCTTTACTTCAGGACTTCTTAGAAATTTTACTATACCAATTCTGCTTCATGGCTCTCCAAGTAGGAGATAGTGAATATGTTTCCCAAACTTACTTGACAATGGAATCCTTTTCTCCAGAAGCATCTTTATAGTACTAATAAACTGTCCTTCATAATACATTTGGGACATGTTTTACTATATGTCTTCTAAGACCCTTTATTGCAGCAATACTCTCTATCCTTGGATCAATTTCATGTTATAGGTATCTGCTAGTTTATGGTCTAATACGGCTGGGATGTGTGCATACTGCTTGCTGTTTCCCTTCCTCTTCAAGCTATGCTTTTGATTTTTTTGGTGCACAGGCTATAATCACACCAACCCTGAATACATGGCCTTCCTGTAAAATCATGTATCTCATTAGCACTTTGGTCATTAGTGTTCAGAATAAGTGTACAGTATGTGGGGAAATGTTCCAAAAAGAAGCACAGAGGAGGTTCCGGGGGGGCGGGGGGTAAAGGGAAGAGATAAATGAATATGAGGAATAATAGCCTTAATAGGGTAGATTTCCATAAAAACTCAAAAAAATATACTTGACATCTTGGTGACTAAATAGCATACTCTTTCCTTTCACAGGACTACCGTTCCTGACCAAGATTGTTAAGACCCAGAGTAATAGAGCTGACTGGCTCCATGCAAAAGTCTGTTCAGCATCTGTCATGCTGGAGATCATTAATGTTCAATTGCATTCTATTGTCTTCATGTTACTCAACTTTGTTTCACTGTCATTGTTTCAACTGGGGATTAATCAACTATTTATGGGAAGATTGGACTTGGAGTAAGGGCAGTCACAACGGGGTTTCAGTCTGAGGCAATGTGGGGGAAGCAAGTCACAGTTAAAAGACTCCTGATTTGTGAGTTTGTTGATAACGTAATTAAACAAAAATGTCTGAGAATAATGCTGACAAACTCATATTTCAAAAGGAAAAAGAACACATTTGGTCTTCCTGAAGAATCAAGATTTAATCTGGCTTGAATCTATTTGGAGTGGGTTTCTCTGCCACTTTAGTTTTCCTTAAGAGCTAGAAAGAAGCTGTTTTGAGAGAATCACGCTAATGGATTCTCTGTATAAATCAGCTCATCATTATCAGTAAAGGAAATCACGCTTCATTATTGTTCCTGAAGAGAGTGGACACGACTGAAACATCCAAGTAGTATGAAATATTTACAGCTTTATGAGGTGGGGGGGGCGGGAGAGGGGGGTAAGGAACTTTTATTAGGAGCTATTTTTTAAAATCTCACAAATTACTTAGATGTTTCCATTTTGCACATATATGTGCATTATGATTAGTCTTATTAGATTTAAATGTCAAATTAAATAATTAAGTGAATATCATTTTAATGTTCATCCCCCAAACACTTATGAACCTGTGTCAGAAGAAAGAGTATAAATTCTGAATTAATTTGCCCAAGTATCCCAACTCATGCAATCCAATTATATAATGAGAATAATATAAATTTAACACACCATTAATATCTTTTGATATGTTATAACAAATTGTTCTGCAGAAAACAGCCAAATTATTTACATAGTAAAATTCCAGGCCTGCAATAGTAGGATCTGCTATTTTGTCCCAACGTAACAGCTAAAATGCAAATGTCAACATATTAGATCAGCATTATCCAAAATTGTCACACATCTTGACAAAGCTAAATCTTCTTATACTAAACCAACAAGCGCACTCACATGATTTCTAATAAATTTAAAACCTCGGTTAAGTTTTTGATACGTGAGCTGCCCGTTGATATGGGAAAAGATGGACCAAGCTCTCCCCCCACATCTCCGCCCCACCTCGTTACTCTTTCGGGGACAGCCAGGCCCCTCCAGATGGTGTGTTACTGCTGGACATAGCTTTGGAGAAACTTCAACAGACGCAGGCTGTAATGTCAGGGTTTTGCTGTGCGTGTC